ATGCCTTTTTAATTTTAATGTTTGAAGATTTTTGATTGACAAATACGTATGCAATAAATACTTAAAGCAATTTTTTAAAATAACTTTCAGACTTTCAAAAGATTTAGATGTTTGGTATGGTCTTTTGTCCATGCACATCGTTGATTTGATAAGAAAAATGTAGGTATACTTATGTCATAATTTTATTGGAATGGACTGGCCCAAGGAGGTGAACTAGCCAAATTCTGAGATATTAGGTCACCGTGGCGCCATCGTCTGTATTTTACGACATCTATTTTTCCGTGCCCCAACGCTAAAATAACCAGTTACGAGTAGTTATTTGTTTTCCTTAAAAGAAAATACTGGTTCCGAAGAGTTCTGAAAATCTCCTAGGTATTCTAAGGGCGATATAGTACCTAAGTAACTAATAAATTTCCAAAGGACGGAAAAAGAAATAAAGGCAGAAAAAAAACAAAAGATGGGAAGATGACTTGAAGAAAGAAGCGGAAATCTTCAGACGAGGCCTTTGTCTAGAGACAAGTTGTTCTATAAAAGCAAGATCAGTACCTACTTAAGTAACAGTCCCATTTTTGAAGAAGGTATACCTAACTTATACTATGTATAATGAGGTAACCACACGTGGTACCTTATTAGTACCTTATTATAAGGTATATTAAGCGCTTATGAACAATGTATAAAACTATATATACCTAATTCTCGACATGAACGATGATGATGCCATATTTATCGGGATGGGGTTATTTAATTATAAATTGTATTGTTACGAACAAGTACTTAGCTATCTAAGTATAATGGGAAGCTGATTCCCAGACAGTTTATACCATTCACACTAGATATTGAATGTAGATTATTTATAAATAAGTAATTCATAAGAAAATGTTTAATGAATATGTTGAAAAGTTAATGAAGAATGAAAAGTAACAATTGTATTGATGCCGTTGCTACATAAATACGCGTATTCTTTGTAATCCAACTAAATTCACGTTAAATTATGAAAAAGATTTTTCTTATATCAACATGATGTAATAAATCAAAATATTTTCCCATGTAATCTAATTAATAGTAAGTACCTAACTAAAATTATTTTTGCCACATTATAGTTGTTCTTTGCCTCAAGGTTGACAAATTTAAATTAAGAATAATAATATTGAGTATTCAGAATGTATTATAAAACAAGAGCTCTACATTGTTTTGATAACCGTTTGTAAAAAATACTTATTAATAAATGTTCATAGCTTGTTACCTACACATTTTTATTTTAAATATAATTAATTATAGAGCTTTTAAGATTTGCATAGTACTTATAGTCACAGTACTTTTAAAATATTTCATTTACACACCACTGGCAAACGGCGGAGGAAAACATCGTGAGAAAACCTGGACTTTATCTATACAAATATTATAAAGAGGTAAAATTTGTAAGTTTGTAAGATTGTATGTAGGGGGTAATCGTTAAAACCGCTGGTCGGATTGCTAAAATTCTTTCACTGATAGATAGCTACAATGTTTCTGAGTGCTATAGGCTATAAAACATCACGCTATGATTAAATGGAGCCGAGCAGCGGGTGAAAATGCGCGACAGTAGCTAGTAATTTATAAGTCTGAAATGGTCAATCTATGAGCAAGCGTGGTGATTAATGCTAAAATCATCTCCGTGTAAGAACTGGCATTACAGCGGGCATTGATATCTGGTGATGATGATGATGACATTAATAGTGTATGTATAAGTTATGTTTTATTTAAAATCTTAGTAATGATGGGATTTCTTATATTAATTAATATTAAAATATCCTAAATGAATGGTGTAAGAGTGAAAAAAAATATTGCAAAATGTAAAATTACTATAACAACATGAAAACTGATCATTTGTTTATACTATAGTGATAGACAGGTACGTGTGTATGAAGACACTAACTTATAAAGAACCGGTTTTGCTATATTTCTTCCTCACGATGTAGCATCGTGGCAACAACGTCGGCTGATCGACTTCACTTTTTTATACCCAGCTCGAAGTGTTTCGACCTCTGTTCTTTTTTTGGAAGAAGACATATAACAAAAGATTCATGTTCAGGTAGAATGGATCATGTTATGAAGATCAAAAGTAGGGCTAAAAAATGTTTGTTTCTTCATGGAGAGAAGACCACAGAATTGCAAAAACTCTACAGGTAAACAAATTTTACTCGATCATCCATATGATGGGAGTCGGAGTCACCTTTGTTTTTTTTAATTTTAGAATATATGTATAGCTTGGAAAGACATGAGATCTCGACGTTTTCAAGCTTTATAAATTCGGAATCATTACTGACGATAGCGAATGTCATTTTAATTATGCACAGCTGTTCTCAATGTTGCTAAGCTGCATACAAAAAGTTTGCTACAAATCGAACAAAAAGTAAGGACGGTCGATAAGGCCAAGTTTCCACAATCAAGAAAAAATATTTAAGTTTCTAAGATATAGACAAAACTCTAAAGACGAGACGGAAACAGTAATTGCAAATAATACATTTTTAACAGAAAAAGAAAGTTTGCATGTTTAGAAGCATTACGGGCGAGAATGAATTGGCAAAAGTTTGCGCTAACTCCGCGATTTCTAATGTTTTTGCTGGTCTAGTAGTTTTGGCGAGAGAAGTAGGCCTTAGTAGGGAGCTATCGTGCTTCTTGTGTACATTATAACTGGGCTATTACAGTAAACTGCTGAATAAGTGGCTAGCATGTAGCCATCATAAGGACACCATCATCAAACACCGCAATTACAGTGATTAGGTATTTATTATGCTTGAATCTTCGTATGACATTCACGACGAATTTATGCCAAGTCTATTATTCTCTAGGACTCATAAATAGTTACATGTTATGATATTTTTTTAACATCGAAGGTTAACAATGTTAAATATGTCATTATATTTTCATATTTATTTATTTTTTTTACATTATAACTATTCAAGTAGGTACATCACTATTGGTAGCAAGTGTATGCTATTGCATGTTATGATGCCTAGGTAATTGTTATGTACCTAGGTACATTTGGTAATTGCTAAATGACAAATTATTTGCATATAGGTAGCAACGGATTTAAATGCTTTCATTAATGAAAAGGCTAGAAATAATTCAACTTAGTCCAATCAAGATATTCCGTTCGTATGTACTTTTTTTTTTTTTTTTTTTTTTTTTTTTTTTTTTTTTTTTTTTTTTTTTTTTTGTGAGGGGAAAATCATCAAATGACTTCTCCCGCCCAGGGCCGGGCAGGAGGGAGTGTCAGACTCTTACTGACTAAAAACCCCCCTGTTCCTTCTCCTGCTCTGTGCCGAGGTCGCGGTACCTTATTGCGCTTACCCCGCAACCCCGGCTGAACATCAGCCCTTTAGGGCCCCGTCTGTGGTGGTCTATTGGTTTTTTGAGGCGCGCGCGGAACGCTACGCGCCGTACGCTCGGGCCTGGTTCTGGTCGGGCGGCGAGCTGCCCTTACTCGCCGACCGCAGGCCCGTACTTACGGTGGCCGGAGATCGTCCCTCGATCCCCGACGCCCGTAGTGTCGCCAGTTGCGGCTGCTGGGGCGTGAGGAGGAGGATTGCTCCCTCACGCGGGCCGCCTCTCTCTTTGCGAGCATGACTGCTTCACAAAAGGAGGAGACGGCGTCCCAGTTCCTCTCACTCCGCACCATGGCCTCGACTAAGGCCGGGCGCGAGAGGTCGCCGCCGCCGATCACTTCCCTGAGGATACGGCGGTGCTCAGCCCAGGCAGGGCATACCGCTACCGTATGCTCCACCGTATCCTCTAGGTGGTCCTCACAATGACGACACTCGGGCGTTTCCTCCCGCTGAATCCGAAACAGGAACCTACCGAAGCTGCCGTGCCCGGTAAGCACCTGCGTCAGACGGAAGGTGAGGACGCCGTGGCGTCTCTCAAGCCACTCCTCAAAGAGGGGTCTTACCGCTGCTATGGTAGCGTGCCCGGCCCTCGGTTGCGACAGTCGTTGTCTCCACTCTGCCATGAGATCTCGCCGGAGCTCATTCCGCCACGCACTTATTTGGCGCGGCAGAGGATCTTCGCCCCGGCGACGCGCGTCTGCGCGCAAACTGTAGACGCGCGCGAGCGCCTTCGCTTCTAGATCCCACGGCGGTGATCCGGCAAGGAGGTTCGCCGCCTCCCCGGAGATCGTGCGATACCCGCGGATTACTCGTATAGCCATGACCCTCTGGGACGCGACCAGCGTACGAGCCGGCCGCCGCTTCAAGTCCGGCGCCCACACAGGGGCACCGTAGAGGGCCATGGATCGCACAATCCCCATATACAACCTCCGGCAGGAGGCGTTTGGCCCCCCGAGGTTGGGAAGGAGCCGCTTGAGCGCGGCCCCAGACCGTTCCAACTTAGGGGCCAAACGACGAAAATGCTCCGTGAAGTTCCATCGGCTGTCGAGGACGAGACCCAGGTACTTCATCGCCGACTCGACGCCGATGGTAACTCCTCCTGCCGTTACTTGGGACCCACCTGGAGGTGGCGCGCTCCGACGGCCATAGAAGCACATGGCCTCGGACTTGTGGAGCGCCACCTCGAGTCCCAACTGCCGGATCCTTGCAACGACTGTCGCAACCGCTTGTGACATCAGGTCGGCCGCCGCCTGATGCGACCTCCCGTTCGCGTATGTACTTATTTGCCTGCTTCATCTATTGTACCGGCTAAGGATATAGAAACCTATTTCATTAATCAATCAAATCAACGCGTTGATTGCATTTGCATTTCAAATAAGAAAGAGTCAAACAATGTCATTGTGATAGCTTTGAAAGTGTTCGACGAAACGGTTCTAGACAGTCGTAATTTTTAATTGTTTAAACAATGTTTGAATAACGACTCAAAAACGTTGGTAGGTATTCAATTAATCCAACAACCTCAATAAATTAACCTATTAATTAAAATCATACCATATTTCGAAAAGAAATTAGGTTGAAATGATAAATTTAAGCCCAAAAAATTATAATTTCAATAAAACGTGTACAACTTACCTTTTCTTCTTGTCTTTCATGTTGGAATTTAATTTCACTTAATTAAATATTTATAACAAAAACTCAGAAATAATACTGTTCAAAAATGTTCAATAATTTAATTTATCACTTAGATTTAAAAATGCTAATAAAAATATTTAGTAGTGTCTTTTATAAATAACATGTTTTACATAAAGATTGTAGCACCAAAAAGGCCGGTTTGTTTTGTGGATACTTCAAAACATTATGAATGAAGCGATCGATAGTGCGTGGGCCAAGAAGCGGTGTCGGGGAGACCGCGGCAACGACTGGTAGCGGGCGAAGCGCCGAGCGACTGAAGTGATGAAGTGAGTTCGTGCCTCGGGCTCGGTCCTCGAGCTCTGCTACCACGTCGTTTTACGTCACTCAATGAACTTCGCAAACCTTGAACATGCTGTACAATAAGCTCAAATGTTCAAAGCAGGTGATTAGGAACCGATCGAAATGTAAAGCCGACTAAACACACATTCAGAACAGATAATACTGATAACGATGGCTACACGTGAGGTCGGCGCTTGTTTATTTAGATTATCCAGTGGTATTAGATATTGGTAACAGAGCTTTGATTACTTCTGCTTTATATAGGTACACTAGTAAGTATTTATACTTATTGCGATCGTTAGATTATCATTATAAATGGATACTTAATAACTGCAAAGGTATGCGATTTATATGAATAGAAACTTTGGTAAACTTTTTTGTTCAGTGATAAAAGTTAGTGTCAGACTCCATAATTTCGTTTTTAAGTTAATTAGGTAACTTGATTATTAACTTAGTTATTTACCCATTGTTAAGTTATCTTTCTTTAATTGTTTTCTAGTTTCTACTGGAAAGATTTTTAAAGTGAAACAAATTCTGAAGGTTTATTTCTCGCTGCAGTCGGAGGCAGATATTTGTCGTCGGTACTAATAGCGACATCTTGAAAGTCTGAAGCGGAAGTTTCAGTGACTCATTAAGTAGGTAGGTACCTACTTTTAGTGTTTGAAGTTCTTGATATATCCGGCAGATGTCGTGACGTTGCCGTTTAAAATATTTGTTAATAATCTTTTATTAATTTGATGTTATAGGTTTTATACCATTATTTAGAGAATTTGTACATTTTGCGACTGCTTTTAATTGCAATATAATATCCAACAATCCGACATTCACCGCAATAGTTAGGTAATTACAAGCATTATAGTTATTGGCACATGCCGCTAGTTTACCGCAGACAGACTGGCACAAACCCTATTACATAACGAAATTGCTTTTACTGACCGAAGGGGATACAGGTGAACATTGCACGTTTATAATATTATGAATAGTTCCTTAGCCCATGATATGAGTAATAAAATGAATACTTCTATCCGTGGGTACCTGCTGAGTATCTACATACTAGCACCTATTTGTAACGCTCACATTCATAAATAAGAAAATATTTCACACGATTAAAATGAAAAACCAGTACGTAAATAACAAATAATTTTTCTTGACTCTAGGATCGAATCCAAGTTCTCATACTCGGTCGTTGGAAGTTCAACTTCTTAACTGATGTGACATTTTATTTGTAGGTAAAAAAGGAAAATCACAATTTACATTCAATATACGCAGACGTCATTAGATATATCTATAATAGGTAGCATAAAACAAAGTCGCTCTTTCTATCCCTATGTAGGTATGCTTAAATCTTGAAAACAACGTAACGGATTTTGATGCGGTTTTTATATTAGATAGAGTGATAGAATGGGTTTATTTGTAGGTACAATAACATCCATTAGGTAAATAGTGAAGAAATTTGGTACCAGTACGTATTGCACCCGTGCGAAGTTGGAATGGCTTGTTTATTATAATTTCGGTTTTGAGTATTTCAGTAACGTTAGTATAATATGCAATATCCCGTCAGTTTGACTACTTATTAGATATGGAACATAACACATTTAGGAGACTTTTAGGGGCGCACTCGCTCTCCTATGCTTCGGCAACGTACGACGAAATACCCACACCACTTTTCTAAGGATTTCCATTATAAGAATTTTTTCAGGAGAAAATTCTTAATTCCAAAAAAGAATCAGCGAAATCAGTTCAGTTGTTCTAGAGATTATGGCATACGGAAAAATATGCCGGTAATTGTTTTTCTTTTTAATTATACATATAAACTATTGCTTGACTGCAATCCCACCTGATGGTAAGCAGTGCTGCAAAAGTTGATGGTGAAGCGTATAGGTTTATTAAGAGCCTATTCACCCTTGATAACCTAAATCATAACTGGACGGGAAGACCGTTGCAGGCAAGCTACTCCAATCCTTAGATGTGCGTGGTATAAACGATGAAGAACGAAGCGAAACTTGTCATGCTGGTCTTCTGATAGGTACAATAGCGCCGAAGTATCTTAGCGAGTCTGAAGTTAGCCGATTAGCTGCGCAGTACCTACACAATTTTGTTCCTAAAAGATCCATTTCGCAGACAAACGGCTAACTTCAGACTCGCCAAGATACGTCGGCCGTACTGTACTATACTGAAACAGAAGTACCTACCTAATTGGAAGTATTCGGAATTAGTGTGAGAACTTTAGGATTTGTTTGAAGTTTTTTTTGTTCACTAACGAATTTCTATTATAGTGTTATATGTCAATAGTCAAATGGTCACAGCGGTGCGTCACACTGGTTTAGTTTAACGATCTACATCAATTGTATGTTGAGGTCTATAATGGAGAATTACCTTGCATTTAACAAATGTTGTAAACAAATTAATCAATAGCCTAAAATTGTCTGATTGGTTTGATTAATACTTCGTCGTTATCGTGTTCAATGTATCTAGTTAAGACCTGAAGTTCTGAATGAATCCTAACTAATATTATAAATGCGAAAGTAACTCTGTCTGTCTGTCTTTCTGTCTGTCTGTCTGTCTTTTCTTCACGCCTCAACTACTGAGCCGATTTCTTTGAAATTTGGTACAGACATAGTTTGGAACTCGAGAAAGGACATAGGATAGTTTTTATTCCAAAAATCTGCAGGAAGTAACTTTTCCACGTGAACAAAGTCGCGGGCAAAAGCTAGTTTTGCCATATTTAACATGTTCCTCTTTTTCCTTCTATTAAGGAACTAGCTGACCCGGTAAACTTCGTGTCGCCTCAAATGTAACAATTCATTTTTTTTATTTAATATTTTTTCTGACCTTCTCGGTATATCCAGAAATATTTCAAGACCACATTATTATAAGCCATGTCGGTTCATCATTTTTCGAGTTTAAGCGAAACTAACGAACGGCTATTCATTTTTATATACTTATAAGAGAAAATAATGTATAATACATACGTAAGAACATTAATGTGCGTACCTACATAGAGTAGGTACATAATATACCTAATTAAAAATACTTAGAAGGAAAAGTGAATGTTCTGTGGAGAAAAAGAGTCCCTGCCAGTCTTGACTTTGGACCTTTTACCAACCAATACTTACGCATTAGAACTCTAATTATTTTTTAGGTAGGCTCACGACTTGATGACTTCTAAGTATTAAATTGATACATTTGACATTTCCTCGTTTACCTAATCTTAATACTTATAATAAAGTACATTAAGTAAGTAGACTCTCATGAGGGTCTTTAAATTGATAAGTCATGCTTTATAATTGCCATTTGTAAATACATTAATAATTGTACCAGATCCTTTATTATTTCATTACCAAATTGACGGAAGTACCTAAAGGCAATGCGCTTTTACATGCGTATACCTACATATAAGTTGTGAAAAACTTTACCTCTTCCTTTTATAAAGTATGAAACTTTACCGAACTATGACATGAAAGAACTTTATATGTAGGTTTTTAATTACCTACTACTTTAATATTAAAAGGCACCAAGAAGAAAGGTACATAACCTCTAGCTAACCACCTAAGCCGATAGAACATAGTAGGTACCTACATACCTAATATTTTGTTTCTGTGTTTTATTTTGAAATTAATTTAAAATTCAGCTTTGCTTGCCTCGTGACCGAGTGGGGTGCGGAGAACACGTGTTTTATCTAAGAGCAACAAGCGTCACGTGGAAATCTGAATGGACTGACACGGGCTACTTCATAATAAAAACAATTGGGAGTTAGTCTCCATAGACGTACCTACCTATTATGTAGTAGGTAGTTATGTATTTATCTACAAGATAAATACATAGGTAACTACATAGTAGAATGTGTGTGAAGAATGAGTGCACTTCATAATGCTGATATAGGTTATAGGTTAGCTGGTGATAGGTTAGCGTATCTATTACTGTGTTGTAGATTTTTTGATGCTCAACTAGGTAAAATTATTATTTGATTTACCTACCTCCTGGTAGATCTATACATATATATAAGTACTTCTTTTTCGAATTCCGAAGCTTTCACTGATTAGACAAAAGCAAGCATTTAAAATAAACCTAATGCTACTTATTCGGTTATCGTTACTGTAGTACCTAAATGCGTTTCAACAACTATACATATAAGTACTTAAACACTTTAAGAACATTTACGGATATATAGTGTCGAAAGCCTTGGCTAGATCTAAAAAAACGCCTAGATATCCTCTCCTGATTCAGTAGGTAAGTAATTGTTACGAAAAACTGAAACTGTTTTTTCCCCTTTATACCCCTTAATAATGAATTCGTATACCTCAATAGCGCCATACGGCTATAACTAAATTAAATTAGTTAGGTGTGGTTTTTTGTCTGTAAGATAAAAATTGGACATGACATATTGATGATCGATGATTCAAAATGTTGAATAAGTACCTAGTTTATCTTGGCAAAATCTGGCCCAATGTATTAGGTAATAGGTAAAGATAGGTATAGGAACTACCCAAAACTTATCTTGGAGTAAAACGGTATCTATCTACGATAGCAAATTCGTCACTAACGCAATAACGCAATGACTTTTAAGATTAAAATTTAAACCAAATATTATTTTATTGTAGGCCTACTTATTCAACATTTATTGCAACATGGTACGCAATAGTTCCTCTTGTTTTTCTTCGATTAAAATAAATCATTGCTCTATATTTAAACAGTTACAAATACTTAAGGAAGTATTTATTTAATTCTAGGTACCATTAGCCAAAGTTTATAAGGAAGCAGTAAATATGATTCTTCAAAATAGTGTTTCTCAAAGATTATCTCGGTCGGTTTGGACCCTCTTACGTTTGCACTGCATCTTCGTGCTCCACTCAAAACTTCTAAGGCCAAGCTTATTCCATTGATGAAATTATTAAACTCGATAATTACTATTCAAGTAATTATCGAGAAAAGTTCTACTCGTTTCAAGCCAAAACGGGACTTATATTGATGAGCAGCGTGCGCTATATGACGACGCGATGTCACGCAGATGATTCGAATTGGGTTGAAGTCGGCTGTAGGTTTCAATTAAAAAAAAAAACGATCCATCTCTATTGACAGGTGCGTCGAACGAAAGTAGGGAATTCTTTTAAATTAAAATGTGAATATACCTAATTTGCCGGGCCACGAACCGATATTTGAGAAACGCTGCTTTATTATTAAAGATAAGGTTATTATTTCAGGAATGAATTATGAAATGTTTATTTAGGTTCAGAAGTCCATTGGTGTTTTATTACTGTTTGAACAGCGGCGTTATGACCTTATGACTCAGTTACCTTGACAATGACTGATGTGTAAACCAGGCTTGTTCGAATTCATAGTGCGTACCGTTCATTTGATTAATTTAGTCGCGCTTGCATGTTTTAATAGATCTTTATGGCTAATGCCAATCACTGGCGATATGGCGACGTAGTCGAGTGCCTATACTTACCTAATAGTTATTATTGTCGCACAGGCTCTTTTCACAGTAGGTACTTAGTAAGTTTTTACAAGATCCAGAGATCACAAGGCCCAGAGAAGGAGAAGGAACAGGGGGGTTTTTAGTCATTAAGAGTCTGACACTCCCTCCCGCGCGGCCCTGGGCGGGAGAAGACATTTGATGATATTTCCCTCACAAAAAAAAAATCCCTAGCATCTTGCGGCTCTGACGATTTCGTCCGCCCACCTGAGAGAGAGGCCTGTCTACGCTACGTTTTCTGGTCCGTAATCTTCACCCGAGGACTTTCCGGCCCCATCGGCTGCCAGTCCTACGAGCGATTTACCCGCTCATTTTCACTCCAGCTTGCAGATTTCAAGAACAAGATACAATCGAAATATTCAAGCAATTTTATATTTATTTACCTACCAAGTAACTTTTCTCTCGGTGAGATGATCAGATAAGTACGATTAGAAAGTTACGGCACTTATGTACGGGTAGCGTGGTTAGGATAGAACTTAAGCGCTGTCATAATCATCATTAGTCTATCAGTCTGTGTTTCTATCTACTGATGGGTATTATATAGACCACTCTTATAGCAGGGTTGATTATATACGTCATATCACTTGACTTTACCTGAGAACTATCAGTATCAATGTACACCTACCCGTATTGATCTCAATATACAGTTCACAAGATCCCTAGATAGATAATCAAAGATTAACAATTTGCCTCCAGCGGTACCTGTTCTACGAGAAGTGGTACGATATTTAGGGAAAGGCTTTACGCATTATCCATACAAGACAGGTAAGTACCTACCTATAAACAGTAGTTATGATAATCCTATTGACAGTGTAACTCTAGGCAGGACTACGCAGTTTCATTGATTAGGTAAACATGTTTTGTTTACCATATATTTGTTTGTTGAGAAACCAGTGTCCACTTCTGGTATGATGTTTTGAATTTCATTGATTCTCGTTATTTTGTTTTGTATTTTAATAAGTAGGTACTTGTTTGCCCACACTGTTGGGGATGTCGACAATCATAAAACGCCTTGACAACCACCGCGCCATACAGATTAATTTTATTTGTATGACAACTTAAATAACTAAATACGTAAGTAACATGCCCGATACCTAAATATTATTATTAAGATTTGTTTAATTTCAACAATAATAATTATGAAACAATTGACTATAATCGATATTGTTATTCAGAACTGTGTCAGTGTGGCAATTGTTTTATGAACAGGTACTTATACAAATAATGATTCAGGTCTTTCAAATTTGTTTGAACTCAATTCTTCCGAGCTGGACCTACATATTGTAGGTAGGTATGTGCAAATTAATCTGTTACGTCAATATAGGGAAAACAAGTTGAATCACTAGAGAAACATACTTACACCGTTATTATTTACTATGTGGGTCTTACTGTTGTGCACCGCTGGGCTATGAATGTGAGTCGAGGACGTGTTAATTGGAAGCGACCGTATGACCCGTTACAGTTCCTCAAATTCATCCACAGGGTAAACAGATGCACCAGATGTGTGTCATACGTAGTGATTAGCGTCCTTATAAAACATGAACATTCGCTCGAACTCCGATACAAAGGGATTAGCCGTTGACGCAGTCAAGCTCTCTCAAGATCACGAACTTTTAATAAAAGATCACGATGTTTACTTTCAAATTATTGTGCGTAGTACTATTTATAGCCATCGTGTACGTTGAGTCTAAGCCGTTAGAGGACACAAAGCCTCTTGAAGAAACAAAACAAATGGCGCCTCAGATTGACGATGGAGAGATGATGGAAGGAGCAGAGTCCCAAAATCCGTTCTTACCGCGCTTTGCTATGAAAAAGTTAAGGGAGCGCAGTGAGAAGGCTAACGCTCAGAGAAGGAATTATCAAGGCTGGAGGAGATGGAATGCACCACAAAGGGTTCCGTGCCCGGACAGATATTATTAAGTGAGTATCTAGTACGTTAGATTTACATATGATTTTGGGGACAGTGCTACTTGATGTGTGTTTTAGGTCAAGTAGGTACATATCTAACAGGGGTGGGTAGTTTATTTGTTGACTAGCAGTTCATATTCATTCTTAGAAAGCTGTCATAAGTACTATTTTTGATGTCCTTTGCGTATTTTGTGAAATTCCGGTATATGAGCAATATATTTACAAATGAAATTTGTGTGTCGCCACACACCTTTCTTTGACCCCGATATTTTATAATAAAAGACTACGTTACTAGACCAATTTCACATTGTAGTATTTGACGCGATACCATAAGTATATTTTTATTATTTTCAGATAAAACCGCAATGAAGCTACTTATAAGTTTAATTTTAACGGCGGGAGTCGCCTCTGTGATTGCTAACCCTGTGACCCTTGTAACTCAAGAAGAAAGTATAAATATAGCGAACGAACCATCTTTGACAGAGACAAGTGTAACAGAAATAAACACACAAGATGCAACAGTGCCCAAAAGTGATCCGGAACCAACCAAGGTACAAATCATTACTGAAGAATTAGTGCCAGAACCTAATATTGTGGAAGAAGTTCCTAAATTCGACAACGGCGAAGTTGATATTGTAATCGAAGAAAGTGTGACACCTTTAGAAGTTGTAGCCGAAGAACAGAATGAGGTCAAAATTGACGCTGACGACTACTTGCACCCAGGGGACCAGCTTATTGACAATATTTTGGCTGAAAGAATTAAAGATGAAATAATGGATACAGCCGAAGGATTTGCACCTCTTCCACTGCAATTGAGGAAAAAGCACAGGCAACCTGCGAGGCGACGGTTTGCCATACGCCGCCGTTACCCAGCGTACCCTTACCCATACACGCCGTACAGAAGAATCTCATATTACAATCCCTACTACTATTATCGCCCTAGCTCTCTAAGATTTTATTAATATTAAGCTGTATTCTTAGTATTTAATCTATTTATTGTAAATTATTTATGACAAATAAAAGAAAACACGTAAGTAGTGATTCATTTCATATTCATATTTATTTCTACAAAATCTATAAGCACAATTGCCTTCCCAACAAAATCATTTCAATATCATTATATTATTTTATCTATTTACATTGATTGGTTATAATTGCATTTTATACATGCAATAGGTACCTAACTTAGAAAAACATTGTACACTAATTGGATTATTCTCATGGCAGTTGCGATCAGTGATTCTTTCATTTGCAACTGTGCATGGATTAACAATCGTCTTTTTTACATTACATTTGTAAAGTATGACACAAATATGATATTCGATCACTTAGTTTTTGAATCACAAATTTCCTTAGACAATAAAAGAACAAGGTCATTAAAGTAAAAATCAGCAACTACTTTACATAGAGAGAAAATTACGAATAATTTACTTGATAAATAAATATCGTTCAATAACATTACCCAAGGAATCATAATTATTGAGTTGTAAACAATATATTCATTAATGTTCACGTTAAAGTTTATTCGTACGTGGTTATAAAACCCGAAGTCTCGCCCTGCGGTAGTGCGAGATTGTACACTGAGACTCATTTGCCGGGACCCACGAGCGCTTCATCCATGAGTTCGTCGTCGGTGATGCACGGCGAGTTAGAGTGCGGCGAGGGTGCCACGAGCGGCGACGGCGCGGGGCTTTTAGCCAGCTGCAGGGCGAGAGCCGGCGAGGACGGGTATACCGGCCGCACGGCCACCAAGCCAGACACCTTGCTGCCCGACGATGAAGAGAAGTCCAGTAACATCTCAGCGGCTTCCTGCGGAGTCGTTGCTCCACTTCGTGCCACTGCACCGCTTGCTGGCGGCTTCATGCATGAGTCAGCGCCTTTCCTGTCTTCCGAACTACCTTTTGGAGCAGCAAACCCCTTTGCCATTTCCGTTTTAAAATCCAAAGGCATAATAGGAAATGACGACGTAAAACCATCTTTCGAGTCGTCCTTATTTCTCACAGGGCTTTCCCCTTTTGATATACTTTCAGCCATGGCCTTAGAAAATTCTAGAGGCCGATCAGACTGATCGTTTTTTCCAGGCGGTATAGTTTTAGGGCTCATGCTACCCATATTGAGCAGTGGCTTTGGCACATTTAACGGGTAGGCCGACTTTTGCAGCGAGTCAGTCGTTCTGGCTCCTTGATTGTCGAAGTGAGGAAATGGATATTTACTTTGTTCCAGTGAACGAGCAAAGTCGTTAACCAATGATCTTTGATCGTACTGACTCGCAGGGCTGTTCTTGTCTGGAGTATTTTGGTTTTTCAATTTTGGTATTTGAAATTTACTTGTATCGAGAGGCTTGATCAAGCCTTCTACTAGAAAGTTAGATTCTTTGGACCCCTTAAACCGTTCCCCGTCTACTTCATCTCTAGAGCCGCTGGGGCTGGAATGCCGTTCTGATTTAGAAGAAAAAATAGATTTTTCCGAATTAGTCATGAGTTTAGTCCTGGCCTTCTCTCTTTCTCTGTCTCGAATAATCTTGGCGAGGTCCGTGCTACTGCTCTTGGGGGATCCAGAACTAGATTTAGAACTAGATTTCGACAGATTTATACCGGCATTACTAGTGCTTGATGATTTAGAATAAGGCACTTTGGGCATATTAGGATTACTAGATCCGGAGGAATCTGAAGGGCTCATGTTTGCTTTCGGTGGTGTTGAGCCGGAGGTGACGCTCCCAGATTTAGAAGATTGCATAGCTTGAGTCTTTTTTGAAGCGGGACCACTTATGACCCCTGGTTTCAAACCAGTGTGAGTTTTGGGAGAGCCTTGACTCGGGGGAGTGAGCTGGGGCGACTTGGAACTTGAGCTACTGTAGTTTAGTTTGGAACTACTGCTCGAAGAATCTTTTGTTCTAGTTTTATTGATAGTAATCTTCATACCGTCGGAGCTTGGCTTCACCATGTACTCCTGATTTTTGCTATCGCTAAGTTTTCCACTACTGCTGGGCGTACTTGTTTTTGGATCTGAAAACTTAGCACTACTGGAAGAGCTACTAGATTTTGCACTGATTTCAGAATCTGTGCCACAGTGCTGCGCAGACTTGAGCTTGTCTATGACAGCACTGAGGGAACCTTTCCTGTTGCGAGCCTGGCTCGGAGCGTTAGATTTGTTTACTTCAATGTTAGGTGGGGAAATCAAAGGCTCCGTTACAGGGCTATCACAGGTTACGGGGGTTATTTCTAATTGTTTCAATTTAATTGGATTTTTTAATTTAGGGCTACTCCTATCGGAACTAGAAAAAGATAAACTGGAATGTTTCTTTTCTTTATCCCTAGATGTCACTGAGCTAGAGCTATAGCTGTCTTTGGATAACTTTTTAGTGAGATCATACCCTGTCGTACCTGATTTACCTGAGGGCGATCCGCTGGTCGCCGATTTGAGAGCTGACATACTTGGTTTTCCCGACCCCGAAGAACTGTGCTTAGGGGACGAGACGCTGTGGTTTTTTGGACTCGAATAACCAGGTAAATGTTTAGGACTATTCTGAACGGGAGAATGTCTGGGGCTATTGTGGTGACTAGATGTCCCCGACGGCTTACCCATCCCCTTCACAGTGCTAGGACTCGGCGATTTAGTAATCGAAACAGATCGGCCGTGCGTTGGGCTTGGACTAAATTTTCGTATAAGGGAGTTTGGGGAAGTCGCGCGTAAAGGGGACCCATCAGTAGGTTTGATGCTCACCGAGACCGGCTTAGTGAGCGGGTCTTGTTTAGGAGGTACTTTCTCTGGCGGTCCCATTGAGTCATCCCTCCTACGTTTCTTCTTCTTTTCCTTACTCCGCTCTTCCCCCGACCTACTCGATTTCTTCTCAGATCTAATACGATCATCAAGCGTTTTCATTTGTGATGATGTTATTGGAGTTATTGTTATGGAGCTGGGCAGGGCGGCTGGTGCGGCCGCAGTGATGGGGATTATTTCAATGCCGGGCCGCCTGTCCAGACATAACATGGAGGAGATGCTGGAGCCGGTGCCTGCGTTGGGTGTATTCGATGTCGTACCAATAGGAGTTATGCTTACCGAAGAAGGCATGTAAGACTTTCCTTCAGTTAAATCCAAAAGGAGCGAAGACGTGCTTCTGTTTGTGCGTAATTCGGAGTCTTTGCTTTTAAGTTTTTGCCTTTTGTGATCAGACTTGTGAAAAGAATTCCTGAAAAGAATGGATTGCGGTGTAATATTACTTTATCAAGTCATATTGGAGGATTAAAGGATAATTATTCAATAAAGATGAGACTACAAACCGGATAATATCGTCGACATCTCCATCGTTCGAGTTGTCCATGTCGGACGATGTTCTGTTGTCCTGCGCTCCGAGTGCGTCGGTGGCGTCCATGCCCGACAGTTCCATATCCGACGTGAACTCATTCTGAGACACGGAAGACTCGCGTCCCTCTATATCATCATTGGTAGAGTTACTATTGTTGGTATTCTCGTCTTCATTGACATACTCGTCTGAGTTATCACTCTCGCTGTCTGAGTCCATCATTTCAGTGATGCCTGAAGGTTTGCCCTTCTTTTGAGCAGAAGCCCACACGTCATCTGATTTTCTCTTCTTGGATTTCCGTTCCTCAGTGGGTTTGGTGTCAGTAGCGGCGGTGTCCTGGCACATAACCGAAAGGTGGTGTTGCTGTTCCGAGAGATATGCCCCTGAGGACAAGGATATTACATTATACGATATGTTCAGAAGTGCCAAGTTTTGTCTGTAATTTAATTAGAAATCCTAATGTCTTCTGGAGCTTTGAATTATTTTAGATATAAAATTAGTATTATTATTATTTTTTCTTTATTTACCGGGATACTATGAAATCTAAATTGATATATCTTGGACTAAATACAAGATAAAACATCACGCTACGATCTGAAGGGGTAGAGCAGCGCGTGAAACCGCGTGAGAATAGCTAGCATAAAATATATTTAAAAGTGCCTTACCGCCTTGATGGGGATGGTTGACGCTAGACGGATACATGGCCCGGGAGTGCATGGACCCGGGTTCGTGCTTGACGTGGTCACCACCCGGGTCGAGGCCCCCCAGGCCACAGCTAAAATTTGGCTCCAAAGCCGAGTACCCGCCGTTTAACTGCTTGCTAGCCGCTTCTCGCTCCCATATCTTTATAAGAGACCTAGAACAATGGGAACAATGTATGAAACACTAGCTTCGCCTGCGTGCCTATGTCCAAGTAGCCTATGTCCCATTCCGGAGTGTATCCTATGCCTGTGCCAAATTTCATCCACATCCGTACAGCCGTTTTTGCGTGATTGAGCAACAAACATCCAAACATCGTAACTTTCGCATTTTCAATATTAGTACGATAACCCGAGAAGTTTGATGTTGATGTAAATAGTTTATGTATTTTTTTGTGTAGTGAAAAAGGTTGAGGGTTGATTGTCGTGCTAGTCAAACTTGAGTGGGTCTCGGTTTGTTATTTCAAAGTCAAAATCATTTATTCCAACTACCTTACAAATATGAACTTTTGAAAAGTTAAAATAGAATAGTAGTCTATCACTGTTCGTCAGGGAAGATAGGTGCTAGGGTTTCATTGAAATTAATAAAAAGTTATCATGTAATAGGTATGAGCTTATTAATAGAGAGTCAACCTTATATGCAATGACAGGGACGGTAAAAAATACATGTGGATTTTTCGGAATACGAAAGGTGATTTTACGTTTAGTTATTACGTACTTGATAAATAGTGATGTTCAAAACTTTCTTCGAAATGTCAGTCGACATCATTCTATTAATTTTGTGCGGTACTGTTTTGTGACGTCAGGTTTTAAGTAACTCATTTTGTGCAAACAAAAATATACGAATATAGGTGTTTCTTTTATTTGCATGGACACTCGCAACAACCGAGGGGTTACGAGTACCTACGTTGCAGATTCGGATTTTGGAGACCATAGCGTTGTGTTTCGCCTTATGAGAGAGGTTGGAAGCCCAATCCCTCCCCTTTCCCATCCTTAAACCGGACTCGTAACTCCTTTGGTGTTGCGGGTGTCCATAACACAGACAGAATGTCCGTCATTGCAGCTATATAACATTGTGAGCTTAGAGTAATAAAGTAGGTACCTACATAAATAAATAAATTGTTGTACAAAAAAGTATACATACCTGAGCGTAATGGGTATAGAATGTGTTTTTTGCAGTACGGAAGTGATATAGTCGTCGATATGTTGCGCGGGCGCGGCGTGCAGCGTGTAGAGCGAGGCGCGCGGCGCGGCCGGGTCGCTCAGCTCGAGCTCCACCGTGGCCATGCTCTCGTCGCCCGGGTGCTCCAGCGACACTGAGATGTGTTGCCATGACAACGCGCTCACCTCGAACATCACCACTGATTCTAGCTCCACGACTGCAAAGTTTATCAAGGGTTTATTTAGGGCTGATTTTTCAATGGGTAGGTAAAAGTTACCTGGGGAATAATTATGATGCTGTCGCTAAACTACCCACCACCGTTAAATATTATTATACAAGGTACTCACATATCGTTACAATAATGAAACAAACAAATGTATACGTACAATGTTTGGTCTGCGTGCGTACACAGCTAGAGATGAGCGCGTTGAAGAGTTGTTGTTGCCTGAGACAGGCCAGCAGTGGGGCCACGTGGGACGGGTGCGTGAACGGTACACTCGATACCATACAACCCTCCAGTCCGCGGGACTCGCATAGGAAGAAACATTGGGTCTGGTCCGGAAGGTGCTAGAACACAAGACAAATGATTTTCAACTATGTTACAATGTTAATAAGAAGCATTTTACAATAACTCATTGTAAAAATGATTGTTAGGCGAAGAACTTTTTTTTTTCATAAAGGAGATCATACAACAGTTGCTCAAATAGTAGTATTAGTCACCAAACTTGGCTTAAACACCTGGCTGGAGTAAAAAAGCCTGACGCTTTGACGGCTTACCATACTTTTGTGGAAGCAGTTCAGAACCTTTAGCCGTCCTTTAAAACTTGAAGCTTGATTTTTTTTTAAACTAAGAACGCATTTATTCTTTGATTATTTATTTTTCATTAAAAGTGTAAACAGCTGAGTCGCGAGACTTTATTTTAGACAATCGTTTTAAATGGTTTAAACTTTTAGTAGAATTATTGTTTATTGCTAATATGTAGTGCTTAAGTAAACTTACACAGTAAAACACCACTAACATCTATGTACTGAGACGTTTTTTGAAAGTCTCGAGTTTCTTATGACATGCGATCACGAAGATTTTCATAATGCAAAATACGTACCACAAAGAGTCCTTTGCTGAGATTCAATTCGATAACTTTCCCCGGCGTCAGCTTGTTGTACGCTTGTTGGGCGACCAGACCTAACATCGGCTTCCCATTACTCCAATCCCCGGCCACTTCAACCTGAAATTAAACACACACGATTATGAAAAATGTATCTTATCTATTTTCTCTGTCAATTTCTCTGAATTAACGATTTAAATAAATAATGAATTCTTATATGTGTAAATGTTGGATATAACTTGGTTATAAATTTATATAGACATTTAAAAATCAATGCCACTTTCTGTTGTAATGTTATAACTCAACAATTCCTTTACCGATTTGGCAAATTTTGGTCATGAATTATTCGTGGAAGTCCAGAGAAGGTTTGTATGTAGAGAAATTCAAAATAGAAAAAAAAAAACACACAGCAACTGCATTTTTGCACTCCATAGATGATCTGCTGTTGAGGAATGTAGAGATTTGATGTGCGTTTGAATGTATATTATTATCCAAGATACAAGAGACAATCCTAATGTGGGGTTAACTTATTTAGATCGGATTAGGAATTTTTAATGAATGTAAACTATTCCTTATTTACATTACAGTTCAATCAAAATAAATCATTGCAAATAGTTGAATCTTACATCAGTGGTGGCGTGTATAAGTTTGGCCAGTCCGGCGCACAGTGGGGTGGGCTGTGATAGCTTCAGGGTAAAGCACGCTGGGAGCATCGCACTGTTCTGCGGCACCAACTGTGCGTATACAGGTCCATTTCTACAAACAAATCAACACAAATTTGTCTTACAAAGTGAAGTAAAAGAAACTCTTGAACAAACTCTGTCCAGTAGAGCTTCTTTCAGTTCATTCACGTGAGTAAGTCGTTATTTTTAGTAAATTTACTATGTCTCACGATAGTTTGTATTAAAAAGAAACTCTAACTTGGTTGAAACATTGACATAGAATGAGAAAAAAAGTGCACTAGTAGGTATCTATGAAGGGTATATTCTAAAGATGTTTAAATGTGCACTTAATATATGTAGGTATCAGGCAGGACTGAGCCATATTGATAAAAACACTTATAAAACCTTGGGAATATTTTAAAAAATAATAACTATTGATAATAAACTTGTATTTATGCAAAAAAATGCTAACCCTTTTCCTGGACGCTGTCCTCCTGATATAATAGGCGATAGTTGCAGCTTATTTGGCGGGGAACCTTCTAGAAGCACAGTCGCTGAATGACCAATGGGAGTGTGAGAAGGTGCGACCAGCGACGCTAGGCCGCTCGTAACAGTGGGCTTGCCTATTGTGAGCAGCTCTACCGTCAGTGGATTTAGGCCTTTCTCTTTGTCTAAGAGTTCATATGGAGACACGAAATAGGTGAGACGCATTGCATGACCTGGAAGAAAAAAAGATTATTTTAGCTAAAACCATTCTATGGTTAAGTTTCTATGTCTGAAGTTTATGGGAACATACCTCCTCTTCTTTTTTGCAAAAAGCCAATAGGACTCTTATGGACTTGCGCCCACGGATCTTTGATGAAGCTCTGAAGTTGTCTCATCGTACACAAGTCTTCTTCTAAGCTCTGTAAAGCGCTGAACGCTTTACATTTTACCTGTGGATAACATTAAAATAATGATAACAAAACGAAACAACTGAGTTCAAAAATAAAAAATAAATAATGGGAAATTAAAGAATAAAAATCACAAGCACCAACCGCAGGGTAAGTCGAAACAGCACCGCCAAGGCAGTGTTGACTTGGGACAGAGTCTCTAAGGCGAAAGCTAGTACCAAAAAAAGTTGACAGTGGCAATACAGTGTCAATAATTCGCCAGAGGCTCTGCATAACTGAATTTCTAATATTAACACAACACAGCCCTGGCAGTGCCGACTCTACACACCCTGCGGACTTCCCCCGTAACAGGAATTGTTCCGTAAGTTACTTTTTTCTCAGCGCCTAGTTGATAAACCGCTGTTAATCCTTCCAGTTGCGCTGTGAAATCAGCAAAATCACCTCGAGATATACACTGCACCAGCTCTTCACAACTCTGTTGCTCAATCTGTTAACACACAAACAATCATTATTAACAAGGGTACACTATCCTCCTTAGTCAAAAAAAAAATAAAAAATAAAAAAAAAATGTTAGTAAAATCACTCTGCATGTTAGGTCCATCCCAAAGCTGAATAATCACCTGAATGCCATCAAACTTACTTTTCCTTCATGATGAATTTTAACATCTTTTACTGACCCTGATGATTCTACTAATATTTCCAAATAAAACATATCAGATGATATGAATAGATTCACTCCTGATGTGCCCACTACAAACTTGAGTCTGAAACAAATAATCATAATGCTTTATTAGGAACAAAAATAAATTAAATGTTATTAGCTATAATTAGTACTTAACAATATTGGTCGATCTTTTCCCATATTTAATTTAATACAAATAGCTTTCTTTAGCACATTTTTCATAGAGAAATAGGCCCCTGTTGCCATGCGTTTCTCTATGTATTATTTACAGATAACATTACGTCATTTTTCTGTATACAGTTTTTTTTTTTTATTTAGGTTTTTCCTTTCTCTGCTCCCATAAAAACATTATATTGCGAAAGCATTAAGGAAAACTTATAAAATTCTATCTATAAGAATAATGGTTACAAACCCGAGCTGTCTAGACAAGCACTCCAGGCGCTCAATGAGACTCTGCAAGGAGCTAACTTTGATGCAATGCTGCAAACTGTCAAGGCACTTCTTTAATATCATACGATCTGCACTGTCTATACCCCATCTCTTGTCCTGTAAATAAAAAAACTAATTAATTAATCAAGCTAACATAATACTTAACAGCACAGCTAAATAAATCAAATCAAATAGTTTTTTTATTGTGCGAATAAGGAAATACATTACATGTTAACGTGTTTGGAGCCCCCATTTAAGCAAACAATGCCTGTATTAGGAGGCTCCGCTCTTTTTACATCATTGTCGTACACATAATACTAACACAGTGAATACTATAGTGTACTGAGACCTTAGGGTAAATATGCAATGTAAGTACATTTATTATTTTTATTTTAGTTGCAATGTGGATATTCTTAAGAAATTAAAAATATATTCATAAAGTTGCAGTTTAATTTAATTTATAACAGTAAGTCCAAACATATTCCCAGTCAATGCTTGTGCTATGTGTGGCGTGTTGAGCGGTATTGTAAGGTGTGTGATGTGTTATGTTGTGGTGTGGAGTAGTGTAGTGTGGTGTGGAGTATTGTAGTGTAGTGAAGTGTAGTGTGGTGTGGAGTAGTGTAGTGCAGTGTGGTGTGATGTAGTGTAGTCTAGGTTGACCTGGTGAGGTGCGTTATGTAGAAGTGTGGTGAGGTGTGATATTAATTACAGATATGTTGATATGTCAGTCTTGTGTGTGATGAAATGTATCGTGTAGCATGGTGTGAGTGGTTTAAGTTATGTTATATTATGTATTTATGTACGTTATGTCTACTCAACATGTTCCAGAAGCGTCTCCGTTTCCTCATAGGTAAATAAGTCAGTGTTATTGTTAAAAAAACTTATATTTCATAGTCACAATGAAACTTTCGCAATCAATCTTATGCAAGCCTCCTTTTAATAATATGGAATACTGTGCTTGGAGACCCCACTTTTTATTACAAAACTAGTGAACATGACACGGTATTTAAGGTACCAGGTAGGTGTGTAACCATTGACATCAAAATAAAATACAATGATAGAAAGAAAATGTGTGTGTTTAAGGTATTATAAAATTGTTTGTAAAAGACCTTACATGTTGTTGTGAATCTAGCTTCATAGACAAATTATTCGGATTTTCTTACACTTCCTTTCTAATAGGCATAGGATAAAAGTTCAATATTTTATAAATGTAATGTTTAGTATAATTGTTAGATTAACAGATGATCTAAATTAACTTGAATGATTGTGACTTGTGTTACTACAACATCTAAACTAATTTTATGAAATAACTAGCGGGCCACCCCCGCTTCGAACGGGTCAAACTATCGCTAAAGCAATGAAAGGGTCACTTTTTCCTTATCTTCCCCTCTACTTTTCTAATATTTTCTTTGATAAGAACCTTCTCCTGACAATAACAAACGCAACAAAAAAAGAATTAACAAAATTTGTCCGGGCATTGTTGAGTTATGCGCTTACCAACACATTTTGCAATCCATTTTTATATATAAGATGTGAAAGTAATTTTCTTAGTTATTATTTCATGTCTTATCTACTCAATGTTAGTAATTGGACAAAGCCATGGGTAAAAGCTAGTAGGCATTATAATACTCTGGATACTACTACCAGTAGAATATCAATCTTAGCCATCTATGAGCAATTGTAATATTTCTTATGAAAAAATATTTGATGAATTTTGTGATTGTCATATGATATAATAGGCTCATTTAATATACTTTCATTCCAAAGGAACCACACAGTAAAAGCTCAGAGTAAAAGGCATCATATCCCAGTAAAGGTTAAAGGTTGTGACCTAGTTTTCCAATGGCTTGGCATTTGTCTATTGTACTAAAGTATTGATTACTATTTTGCTTCTAAGCCGTCAACATTTTATTGCATTTACTTAATTATCTTATGCAAACAATTAGATTAATCGCCATTACTGGCAAAATCAATAATGAAAATAATGTTCATTGAGGAAATATGGCTAAAAAGTGAAGGGTATTAGACATTATAATAGGAATAATATTATGCTAAGTATGACAAGAATAATAATTTAATTATGATACTAAAGTAGTGTGTGCAATGCATTTCATAATTAGGTACAATTAAAAAATACATAGGACTGTGATGTGTTGGAAAAATGGGTGTGTAGAATAAAGGAAAGCATTGCTAGTTATGGAAGGCACTGAGAGATTTTTAAACTGAAGGCCTATCTATAGTAACATGATGTATATTATATATACATAATGAATTAAAGGGATATTTTTAAAAATTATGAGGATCTACAGGTATAGGTCTGATTGATTTAGTGATCCTTTAAAATACAACGGATAAATAGATGATTCATATCAATCAGTAAGATAAGTTAAACAGGCACTGTAATAGAAACTATTGAAAAGTGAGTTTTGAGTTGTATAAAAACTCTAGCTCTTTTTTTAATCAATAAAACACTGCAGTATTATTACCTGGTAATTTTACTATTAAATAGAGGAAAGTATAAATATCCACATCACATTTTATCCTGCCATTCTTAAATTCACAAAAATAAACTGTCCTATCATTTAAATTATGTCCGGTAACATAAAAGCTGACCAAGAAGCAATGTACAACTCTATCTTATTGTATAAATTATCATTAAGAATTTTATCTTCACAACTGTTATCTTTAAGTTTATACACATTCAGTTTTTGTTTTTAAAAGTAATGCCATAAAAATTTGATGGAACTTATTGCTTTGCTACAATATGTTTATTGCTGATTTATGCTTACATTATTTATTTAATCTGTTGATAAGCTTATTAGATGTTATTAACTGAGGAAAATCGATGTTCTTCAGAGCTTGGGCTTTATACAATACAAGACCCAGGTGTGAAAGATTGAAAAGAGTAGTATTGGTTGACTATGTGATTCACATGTGTTGTTAATTTGTTAGTGTTATTTGTAGAGATATGACGGTAAAATTTCTCACCAGTAAAGCCATTCGGACGCCTTTGGAAGTCTCTGTTAAATTTTTGAACTGTGATGTTTTGGACCTTAGTTTCTCCATGAGAATCTCCTTCTGGAGTTCTTTGGATTTGTCTACCAGTCCATTAGCTGAAGCCATCACTACTGGGTTACTGTCCGTCATTTTTGTAATTTTAATTGCAGCACTTACAATAACATACACAAATAAAATAACACAAGACCTATCACAGACAGAACATCTGATACAATACACGACAATCGCAATATTTTTATTTTTTATCTCTGATGTGTTTATGCGTTTTTCCAAAAGTGGTTGAGCAATTTTGGGCTTTTTTAAATATAAAAATATCAAGTAATCACTTTATTTTATTTCGATAAAATAATTTTTCGTTCACAGAACAAAACTGTCATTTTCACGCGATGCCATTTGCTATAATACTGCCGTATAAAATCTATAAAATATTAACAAGTTGGCATCGGCTTTTACTTTGATTGGCGCTAGTAGAATAAGCAGTCCCGTGTGTGAGAAAGAGAGAACCGATTGTTTGGTGTAGTTTACATAAGAATATTTTATTTAGACGCATTAAAACCCTAATGCCAGTGCCAGCAATGAATGCGTTCAGAAATAACCATCGTGGGTACGTTCAGTTACTATCGTTATTACCAACAGTATTGGATGGTATAAAATTATTACAACATTACTGAAACATTATATTAGATGGTAACTTTTATGCAAATGGAATGATTTATCCAACCGTTGATATGTTTGTAATATGTCAATATATTTTAACTTTTCTATATAAATTAATATAAAATTAAGATAGTACAAGCTATTAATGTAATTTATAACAAAAGATCAACCTGTTTGAGGTTTGAGTAAAACTGGTTTCAGAATCAGAAAAATAAATAAACACAATGATTATAATTATGGAATGAGAATACTTGATACCTTGATACTTGATAGTCTAATTCTAAACCCTTCAAGCGGCATGAAGAAGGTAGGTACCTACCTAGGCTAAATTAGTACATGAAGATAGCACGAGATGGCGCTCTGTGACCATCCTTCTTAACTTCCTATTCTTTTTCAATTACTGCTGAGCTGATATTTAAATCACAATTGTTTACTTGTTCATTTGGCTTAAACTTACACCTGGCCACAGCAGGCTTGCCGCAGGCGTGTCTCTTTTTCAACGTAACATTAGGTAATCTTGAATTAGTAAGAAGGTTCGCGCTTATGTTTAATTTATGCATAGTTGCATTTATGAATATCACGAATGGAGAATGGGTCTTAAAAAAATAGTTAGGTATTTTATTCATTATTATTAAGTACTTAGACATTTGTCGTTGTTTAGAAACTGTATGGTCATCGGGTGCCCAATTACATATTTACGAACTACCTTCAGCACATTTAGATATAATAATATTATACCCTCAAGTTTTTGATCTTTCACTATTACCCAAGAACATTATTATTTTATTAGTATGTACCTAGATACTTGTTGTATCATACACTTTTTTAATAATGTTATTTGATGCCAAAAGTCTATTACTATTCTATTGCCTTCATTCAGTACAGAGTCAGGCTGAGCTTTAATGGTCAATTTGACTTTATAGAACATCGCGTGTAATGTTGTCGTTTAAAAAAACAATCGATAACGTTTATTACAAATTTTTATTTGTATTTTTATTTCATTGAATTTGCTTTTAAATTAACAGAATTGATTTATTTAAGCCAAATAACTATAGAATTGTATCTTTTAATTTAGTTAAAAGGATAGGTACCTACCTACTTACCTATGCAAGTACCTAAGTGCTTTTAACTTCCTTATGCAGATATAAGTAACTGGATCCCTTGTTGCAGGTAGGTTCTTAACTTATCTAATCTCATTTGAGCGGACCCACTTCCCGCTTAAATACATATCCACCTAACTTGTTGCCGTTCTCCTTAAAGGTAATAAGAATGAATTTTAAGAAAAGATACGCATTTAATGTATTAAATACTAAAATAAACATTTAGCATGATAGTTGAATAACAATTAAAGATCTTCATAGTTATTAAAAGCAATCTTAGTGAGCAAAGAAATGATGCTTACGTTTTGTGATACTTAGTCGTAAGCCTACTTATTTAGAAACATAGTTATATATGTATGTATCACATGTTTAGGTATACATAGGTATATGAAATACAATATAATCATATGTATGTAAGTCTATAAAATGTACCGATAGGTGCAATTGGTAATTACCTACAGGGTTTTGATCGCTTCTTGCACCAACCGTTGAGTCGTCTCTACTTTATTCAAAACTTTTTGGTTTGACTGGCAGGGAAATGCATACACTAAGTACCTACTACCTAAATCAACTTTGAACCTGCAAACATTTTGTGAAAACTTTTAAACAAAATAAAATAATTAGATATAAGTACCTACACAAGATATGACCTACTTGTCCTACCTACTAAAGGTATTAAGGTTCCTTTATTCAAACTACAACTATCAACATACAACTGCAACTATCAAACGTTCAAATTATTATAGGTAATAATACCAATTGACTGACAATCTATCTTACAAATTTGTTGTTATCTGTTATAGGAACTAGAGTTTGTTTAGAAATGATCGAGTTTATCAAGTTTGCGTTTAGTTCTCGCTGGTAAACTTCGCAGGACGTAACCGCGGAATAATTGGTTGCACCTTGAGTGAAACTAGGTAACTATGAATCTAGACTTGCCAAAGCCCAGAATACAATCGGGCGCCAATAAATTGCTCATAGGAATAGCACGAAAATGCTTATGTAGGTAGTAAGAAAGGTACAGACCTACCGACAAATAATAGAAGACACTCAAATCGATAAAGTTATCTTGCATACATAAATATATAAATACTTATAAGCAAATGCATGCTTTGTTGTTATTACATAGTTAGCTTTAACGAATAAGCAAATGAATCACTTTTCTTTTTTATGATGTGATAGGATGGCAAATGCCAAACGAGTAGACGGATTACCTGATGGTAAACAATCAGCGTCGTCGATGGACGGGTGTCCCGCAAGAACGGAGGAGTTACGAGTGCGTTGCCGACTAGAGTTTTGGGAATTTAGAGATCGAGGAGGGTACCTAAGGATTAGCCCTCCGGTAACCTTACTCACACGGCGAAACACAACGCTGAGATGTTTCACGCCGGTTTTCTGTGAGGCCGTGGTATCACTTCGGTCTAGCCGACTCATCCGCGCCGAAGCAAGGTTCTCCCACAGTTTAACTTTAACTATTTGTAATTGAAACAAACAGATTTACAAAATGTAAATTTAATCAACGTAGACAAGCATGTTCTCGCACCTATAATACGTACTTACATGTATTATGTAGCAAACTAACGAAGTAGATTATATAGATTATAATGCAATAATAAAGCGCGATAACAACTTGATTGGTATTTTGTATCTTGAATTTGAAAACATCGTTCCAACATCCTTCTCACGTCTTCCGAACTTAGCGGATCGCAGCATCGAACGCGGCTTCTGACGAACTCCTACAAATCGAATTAGATCGGTTTCAGATTATCCGATCTTATGTCTGTATCCGATAGCGATACGATATCGGATAAAATGATTGAGAATATCATCATCATCAGCCTATAAGTGCCCACTGCTGAGCAAAGGCCTCTTCTCATACGGAGAAGGTTAGAGCGTTAATCACCACGCTTGCTCAATGCGGGTTGGCGATTTCAAATTTATAATTAGAAATTATAAGTCCATAGGTTTCCTCACGATGTTTACCTTCACCGTTTGTCAGTGGTGTCTAAATAATCATAGAAAGTACATATAACTCGGAAAAAGTCACATTGGTACTTGCCAGGTTTCGAACCCACACCCTCATGCATGAGAAGCGGGCTCCTTAACCTCCGGGCCACCACGACACTTGAGAATTGGCCACACGATTGAGAATATATTTATAATTTGTTTTTGTATTTCTATAAACGCTTTGTGCAGATTATATTATATGTACTTGATGCAGAGATGTGTTTGATGTGTGGATGGTAAGCGCAATGAGTCACCGCGTCCTCGGCCTAAAGCAAGAGAAGGAACGGGGGGGGGGGGATTTAATCAGTAAGAGTCTAACACTCCCTCTCGCCTCACCCTGGGCGGGAGAAGTCATTTGATGATTTTCCTCTGACAAAAAAAGAGGTGTGTTATAATATTTCACGGACACCCATGGATGGAATTTAGTGCGTGCGCATATGTAAGCACGGGCTAAAGAACAAGTACAGGGAACAATTGTGTCGGGAATTAAAAAAAAAACAACACTTGGTGTTGGCTGTATAGATATCGGTTATTGGAGTCCAACAATACGTAATATCGGATCGGATAATCTGAAAACGCTATTAGGAATACTCACAGATATTCCCTACCGCCTATATGCCATAATAATCGTATTTATTTAACATGTTTGCAGGCGTCTCGTAGATTTTATTTACTTCGGGCTAATTAGATACACATGTTTGTAGAATAATGAATTTATACGTGAAATTACCGCGAATGTGTGTAGGAGTTACAATTATGTACCTAAGGCATTTAACATGTACCTACGTATCTTGGACCTGTTGTTTTTTATCTGGTTTGAATATAACAGCGTATGAAAGACGAAAGGTAGATAGATATTGCATAATCTGAAATGGACAACGAAACTGTCTTTTTGTGCCTTTTTTTTTGGTAACGGGGGAAATGTAGGTGCCTACGTTTTTCTTTTTTGTTTTGATTTTTACTTATTAGCTGAAATTGACAATGAATGTGTTTTAATTTAATTAAGTAAGTACCTACGTATCTAAACATTTAAGTACATTGTTAGTTGTTGCGTCGCGTCCTTGATTGAGTTTGTTAGGTTAGTAACTAAAAGTTAACTATAAAAATAAGTAGGCAGTGAAATTGAGACATGAAAACATCTATGCATTTGATATATCAAAGTTTTACACTTATATCAATGAAATATCAGGCTTTGAAACCAAAACTTACAAGGAATTTCAAATGTGGTAGAGCCATGTTTCGTCACGAATGGGTTAGACCGACCGGAGTTGATACCGTGGCCTCACATAAAATCGCCGTGAAACCGCCGCGTGACAGAGGTAACCCCCCGCTAAATCTGACAACCCTTTCCCCAATCCCTCCCAAATTTCTAAATCATCGTGAAACCAATTGCTTACCATCTCGGTATTCCATCAGAGCGTTTGCGGACCTATCACAAAAATAAAAACGCGTACGTCCATGTTTTGAATATAAACTTTACGCTTCTCTAAATACTATGTTGCATTGAATTTATTGAGATGGAATGAAAAAAAAATGACATAGCAGTCAGTAAGTGTGTAGGTTGTATAGATGTAGGATTGTAGCATATTCTATTCGCATCCGTGCACTTGTCCGGAACAACAAGTAACAAGTGGTTGAATCCTTTTGTGATGTAAAGAACACCTGGAAGAGACACGCAAAAATATAATAAACCAATTTTATAGACGAGTAAGAGTATAAGA